AAATGTGTAGGGTTAAAAAAAATCCAATAGTTGTAGCTTGAGAATAATAGCCTGTAATATTCTGTAGTGGGACTCTGTAAACGCAGTAAGTGTTGCTACATGCTTTTGGGTTTTGTGTTTTGTTTTGTTTTTGTTTTTTTTTTTTCTAAAACACTGTAGTGTTTTTATAAGATTGTTTAGACAGATGTTCTTTCTTTTTTGTGTAAGAACTATTTGCTCTTCTGAGGCTCAGAGATATTCCTTCTGATGTTGAACTGACATCTGGTCTCTCTGTGGCAGGATGTCTGCAGGTAGAATTGCTTTGGAAATACATCTGTTAGATGATTTAAGTACACAAAGTTTTAGAGTTGTGGCAGACAACAAATTTATAAAATCATAAATCCTGACTGGTATTAAAAGTACATCCTACTGAGGGTGAGAATTTAGGGACTGATCAGATTTTTGTCTTAGATGTTTCTGCTGCATCTTGAAAGTACAAGGACAGAATAATCTGATCATTAATATGACACTTAGTTCTTGAGAATCTGAACCATTATACAGTGATTTTTCTATGACATTCAAGTCACAGGCAAATGGGAGATCTCCTGAGCTAGAGGAAGCCTTATTAGAGATACTGAGACTTACAGTTGCGTGGTTGTGAGACTGCTTGCTTCATGATTGGTCACTCAGTTTGTAGCATGGGAGAGGTCACAACAGTGCTTATCCTCACTGCCCTGTCCTACTTGGATGACGCAGGGATAATGGGATAGAATTTAATCAGTTCAGACAACACTTTTGTATTTGAATGTCAGTATCAACAAATACTGAACTGGTTATCTTTGGTATCTACTGACCATTGAACTGTTTTCACTTTTTCAGATGTTCAAAGTTTTACAGTACTGAACTTGCCTCTTTCAAAAATGCAGAGCTCTCATAAGTCTGTCCAGGATTTCCACAAGGAAAACATCTGGGTTCATGCACTATGCTGTTCATGTGCCATAAATCCAGCTTCTGGAGACGTCAGGCTCACTGTTCATACATTTAGAGTCAGTCTGATCATGTCTAGTTCTTATCTGGTCCAACCAGGATACCAGACATCCAGAAAACTAGCCAAAGTCCTCCACTTACATCCAGACATGTCCAGAGTACCTCAGACACACAGCATCCAGATGAAGAATTAGATTGTGGCTCATTCTGTGAAAGAAGCAATGTGGTCTCTGTGTTTTTTGAGCCCCTTTACCGGGACTGCCTGCAGTCAGAGATGAGAAATAACGCCATGTTCTTCTGTACAGGCTGATGCTGCTATCCTTCCGCAGCAAACAGGGCTACTGTATCCCACATTCCAGCAGAAGAAGGAAGCCCCTTACCTGGTGTGAAGGGCTTTCGCTTCTGTGCTCTTAGCTCCCTGGGTCCTGCACTCCTGGTCCAGCCAGGTCAGGCGTGAAGCTGTCTCAGTCCCCTTCAGCTGGTTATTTGCATAAAGCATGAAGTCTGTTGCAATCATTCTTCCTTCCCTTTGGCAGCTGTGAGTTTCTGTTCAAGTTGTGTCATTTTAGGAGCAAATAAGAGAGATGGGAATGAAACTTAGCTGCTAGCAGAAAAGGAGAAAGAAAATACAGCTTTGAATTATGCAAAGTGTAATGGCAAATGCCATCAGAAAAATAAGGTGCGTGCCTGCTGTAACCTAAGAATCCGCCTAGGTCTGGTGCAAGAACAGGATGTTTGATAAGCAGCTCTCTTTACAGTTTTGCTGTCCCAGCCAAATGAAACCTTTTACTTATGTGTGCTGCTGGGACTACCTTCGACAGGATAGCTCCCTGCAGAATTACTGAGTTTACTGATGTTTGTAATTCTAAATTTGAATGTATAACTGGCTAGCAGGCTGCCTTCCTATTTCAAAACACTGAATGCTAATTAAATATGAAACTACTCACTAATGAGTTCTGTAGTCACTGGACAGTTTTCACTGTGGTACCTCATTATTTCAAGCCATATAATTGTCCTCTAATAGGAATTCTCATGCTGAATCTTATTTTCTTCATGTGAATTTCCATAGGTGCGCCATTTTAAGGCACTACTTCAGCTATGAAACATTTCAAATGAAATAGAGCTATTTAAAGCCAGTGCTTCTCAAGGACAGAAAATCTTTTTTTTGAATCATCCCTAGTCAATCAGCTAAAAGCATGAAATTTGTCCTAATCTACTAGTGGCTCTAAAGCGTTGAATACATTCCTCTGGAGCAGTGCCACTGGGACAAATTAGATATTCCAAGCAGAACCAGGTTCATTGTGTAGTTTGCACATGGGAGACAGTATTATTCATGGAGTTTTTATCAAGTAAAGATACTGAACTTGCCAGAAAATAGTATGTATCAGGCTAAATTGTGCAATTCTCATTCATACTTGTGAACATTTGCACAAATAGACCCATTGACTTCCCAATGAAAGTGTTTCATTATGATCATTTCTATTACAGTGATCATTATGTGATTTGAAATAATAAAGCGCCACAGCCTCATTGACTTCAGTGACACTACTTGGTCCACCAACATGAGTAAGGGCTGTGCAATGTAGCTAAGAGGATCTTAATAACAAAACCTCTGTTACCAAGTTAAATATAACCCCCACCACAACCCTGCCATGGAATAGTCACAAAACTGCATGGGTGCAAGCTCTCCCATCCCCCCCCCCCACACATCCCCCTCCAGTTTTTCTTTCCGAACAAAACCAGCTGTAACTAGAGGCTGAGTTTTACAAACTGAAAGGAGCTTGTAGCAAAAAGAACAAAAGTGCTAGTGTGCAGAAGCCACCCTGCAAAGAATGTTGGCAGGAGAGGAAGCCAGACCCTTCCACTGCTGTAACCTTAAACTATCATTTGTTGATGTTGATGTATTTCTAATAAGTGAGGAAACGAGAACACAAGAAAAAGGGAGACAGAGAACTTGAGACCTTTTGGAGACTAGGCTTTTCACATTTTTATGTAGCCTGGCAAGGCAGAAGGAACTCTTTATTGAGTGATAATAGCATACACTGCACAATTTACCCTTACACTTATGTGAATGGGAAGTGCCATAATCTGCAGGCTTTTAATTTTACAGAAGTGAAACCAGTAAAGAAAACTGCATTGTCCCTCAAATCCAAACTGCAGACAGACCATATCTGCAGTTTGGATTGTGGCTCTAGTTTCAGAGAGAGCTGAAGTTTCTTTACTGAGGGAGCTATCTAGCTATCAGATAAAGCAGTGTGATCTGGAGCAGTGTGAAAACTCTATGAAGTCTGGTCTTTCCACACACACTAGGAAGGAGTCTCAGTTAAAAGAAAACACCACTTCAGTAGCAGTACTGCTGCCTAGGGAGCTGCAGAGCCTGGTGTACGGATTAGTCGATAGTCTTGGACTGAAGGATTTTCTTTATTTGCAAAAGAAGGAAATCTAGACATCACCTAGTGCATGAAGAAAATAAACGAGTGTCCATAAGCAGTCACTTTCTACTTGAGGATCTTGAAGAACCTCAGAAATATGCAGTGTCTCTATGTCCATTTGACAAACAAGATGTGACTGACAGAAGTTGTGGCGAAGCCATGACCAGCACCCACATTTGCTGGCTCATTCTCTCTTCCACCAGAACATACCAATAAAAGTTTTCTACATCAATTTTACAGTAGCCTTTGACTTTGAATAGCTGAGGTGGAAATCACAGTTGCAGTGAAGTCAACAGCAATTTTGTCCCTCATTGCAGTGTCCCAGTTAATAGTAGATACTGTAATAAAAGTATTTCACAACCATCAGCCCATCAGCCCTGGATGAATTATCAGCAGCTGTCAGTTTTTATACTGAAAGATAAAGGCCAATAAAAGACATGGTATCTTTTTAAGTTATAATGCTATAAGGATGAAAAATCCAGTCCATTCCAAGGGTTAAACCCAAGCTTCTTCTCTAAAGTTTCTATGGCAACTAGATGCAATCTATAGTGATATTGTAGTTAATGAAATGTTTCTTCCAGACCAACAGGGCAACATGTAGCATTCAGTAATGAGAGATGTCTTTGGGGAAAGAACAGTGGCATCAAAGCTGCCTTCTAACAAACTATATTGCATGCTAAAAGCCTGGGGTAAAGTGTGTCCTGCAGTCCAAATTCCTTTCTGTTTATTCACAGTGCTTCCTTCATGTCTGCTCTGATGATGAAAAACACTAGTAATAAGAACATTACTTGAGAAGGAATAGGATAAGGAAAGAAAATATATTTGATCACTTCCTTAATTGAATCACAAAAAGAAAAAAAGTCTTGTAAAGAAGATTTTGTATGTGTGTCTGGTAGAGGTTTACTTTTACTTATAAATGGAATAGATAAATGTTGACATTTGATACCAGCGTACTATATCCTATCTGTATGTGCATGTGCGTGAATCATGTGGATACAGATTAAGCCTCTCTGTCTTCATCTTGACTTCTCAGAAACTGAGATCTATATTAACCTCAATGCAAAACCCAAACTACCAGGTCTAGACTCAGCCTAGATTCTTCCCATCAGCTAAAAGACAAATCAGATAAAAGATGTGAAACCTGTGCATGTGTATTTAAGAGATGGAGGCAGCAACTTGGACACAACGCTCTGCACCTGAGGAGCGATACAAACTCCCCTGGTGCCCTCTGGTCCCCTATGGCAAGGATTGGCTGTACTCCTGGGAAGCATTCCCTGCCTGTGCATGGGGGGGCAGAGCTCTTCCCCTGATGAAGAGGAAGAAAAGGGGGTCAAGTCAGGGCTTAGGAGCCGTCCAGTGGCCTTCTGCTTGTGGCCTTCTGCTTTTCGTGAGAAGGCCTCTTCTCTCCTCTGCTCTGGGGCAAGGCTTTGCAGGCTGCTTAGTCACTTGTTCAAAGCTGTAGCTTTGTCCTTGCAGGCCCTACAGACTTGCAAGCAATCTCACGGATGTGTAAGTATATATGACCAGATACCTGATTTTGGGTGTCCAGGTTTAAGATGTAGGCTGTTGAATTTCTATAAATATTTTTCATACACACAGACCTTGAAGAACAGCATTAACACAGAGTCTATCTGGACCTAATGGATACTTCCCAAACCCTCTCTTCAGTGCCATGTGAATGCAAGTGTCAGAGCGTAAGAGAAGGTAGGAACATGCTCTCTCCTTAGTCAAAAGAAAAACCTAAAAAAACCTACCCAAAAGGCAGAGATAATGGTAAAATGCTGGTCTGCTTCTTCCAGCACTATAAATGGATCCAGTAGGGATAAGCATACTTTTCCTTTCCACTCACCTGGCAGAGAGAGAAAAAGATAATAAACCAGGTTATATGTGACACAAATTCTTACCGTGGAAGGAGAAATGAGTGGCTTATTTCAGCAAGAGAGTTTCAGAAACATACTGAATGAGGACTTCAGAAGTTGGCCTTAGGGCTGTAAAGTGAGGAGCAGGCTTATGCTCAGCGCTAGCATGCTGACCGAGGGGCTGCGGGACGCGATGCCGTGGGTTCTCAGCCACAAGGTAGATGCTTCATTAGGCTCTGGGGTTTTTTTGTTTTGTTTTGTTTTTTCCAAAGCACCACTGAACAGTGAGAAGTCTATATCCTTTTAGCTGGACCTGTCAAGGATCTCCTGCTTTGTAGGAGGGACTCCGTGTGGCATTAGATGCTCTTGTTTAGACATCTGCATTTGAAGATTTTTAGGAAATCTAGTTTTAAATGTTTGAACTGTAAAAAAAAAAAAACCAACCCTCATGGCTGTACCTCTGTCTATGTACTATTAAAATACAGTGGAAAAGACTGAACTCATTTCTAGTGGTGTGCTGGATAAAAACCAGTATTTCCTTAGGCAAAATTACTGAGATTTTTTTTTTACCTTCTGGTTCTTGAAGTGACATTTACAGCCACAGGAAATAAAGAACAAGATACCTTAAAATGTCCTTGTAAACTTTATACAGCCACTCAAAATGAAGCACGGTAGTAATTTATTTCCAAAAGGTTGAACTTTGTCACTCAGTGAAGATTTCCCTCTCCTTAGCCAGGTTACATTAAAATGCATAATGCCTGTTCTCTGAAAGGCCTTGTGCCCTCTGTCTCGTCTCCTGTTGCTCTGGCATTCTCCTTTCTCCACTCATACCAAATATATTTGTGGTTAAAGCATTGATAGTTAAAGCAGTGTTAGGTCCAGAAACTTTGTTTTCATGGACAGGGATGATATTTGCCATTGTTTTAGCAGCTGCCTAAAAAAAAAAGTCCTGCAGTATTAAACAGAAGCAGTCTGTTTTCAGCTTTCTCCTTATTTTAGAAAGTGTTTGGATCACTAAAATAAAAACAAAACTGTGCAGGCAGTAATTTATATGCCTGAGAGAAGGATTTGTTGTTTAAAAATGCATTATGTTAGCAATAACAGTATTCATTTGAGTTAGATGATATGCAGTGGGAAGAGCTGAACTCTTCTAAAACCATATTTTTACAGCCTTCAGTTGTGTCGAATACAACATCTCACTACAGATCTTCTGCTATTATCTGAGGTTCAGAATAGTATTTCAGTTTGAGAATTCACCTCTGTAAAAAACAAAACAATCCACACAGTCCATTAGGATCACAATAAAATCCTGTGTCATCAAAATTCAATGTACAGTTCACAGCAAATCAGAGCCAATCACAGCATTTTAGTAGGAGAGATAGTCATTTTGGTGTGAGGGTATTGCACGTGTCAGCATGGCAGCTGCTGTGCTATGAAAAGATCACTGTGCATAGAGCTGAGGCACAAATAAAGCTGGCCTGGAACCACATTAAATTTGCTATGGCCAAAGAAATTAGGTTCTTCTGTAAGTCAGCTTTTTGTCGAGTACGCATTTTGCATTTGTATTGATTTCATGCAAGCTTCATTAGCCAACAAGCCCATAAATACACTTGCTTTTTGAAAACAGTCTCAGAATAACTATGTATGAACACTGATCAGTTATCTGTGTATTGCAACCCCAGAGGAAACTTTTTTTGAGATGATTATGACTTTGACTCTCCAAGTGTTAGGAAACTGAAGATACTGAATATGTGCATCCAGAACATCTCGGGCTAGAGACTGAGGCTGCTGAGACTCTGTCCTCTCCTCCTGCCCTGTGTCAACTCTGGTGCTCATGTGGTTGCACAACAAGTTGTTTCAGATAAGTGATGAAAATTCATCCTATAAGAAAAGTCCCTACTTCTTGCTTGGATCAGCTTTCTGGATGAGCAAGGCCAGGAACACACAGCCAGGAACAAGGGAAAAGGCTTAGGTGGACTTAAGTTGCCCTGGAGGCACTCTCTGAGGCTGCTTTTGCTTCCTGATAGCAAAATTCCTGAAAGGGGGTGTTGGAGGACTAACCTTCCTGGGTGTATATTCAGTGAAGTTTATTGCTTCAAGAGGAAGGGGCCTGGAAAGCCGTGGTATGAGGAGGCTTCTTCACCTTTGCCCACTAGGTAGACCTAGTTAAGCAGATCTGCATGCGTAGCTTTCACTTGCCTTGCTCACAGTAATTTGGCTGGTATAGAACTACAAACAATTCCTATGGTGAGTGAAATTAAGTCCTTCTTGGATTTCTACACTGTACAGATAGAAGGTAGAAAACAGAAAATTCCTTGCTGATTGTCTGCCCTTTCCTGTTCTTCATGAGTCATTTTTGTACCATACCTAAAGAAAGGGTGGTATTGCACTACAAACCCAGTACAAAATAATCCCTGCCCCTTCTATACCATAGCAAAAGCACTGCATACTGACTGCAGTTTGTGAAGTCCCATATTGCTGTTAGAAGTGACCTGTCCTTGCTCTTTCGTTATTGATGTGTTTCCTCACTGCGCTGAAAGATTCTTGACTCATAGTTTTTCAGCACATGACTGTCATCATAGTGAATCAAATGCTGCAATATTGCTAAAACTCTTCATTTATCAAATGGGTACCGGGCTGAATTCAGATCTGGTGTGAATGGATGTGTAAAGATCACTGTACATGTGTTTTTTCTGGGTCACTTTGGTTGTTTTCTGGCAGTATAATGCTTCGTATGAGCTGAGCTGATTGTGGCTGGCACTGCAGCTCTAGCAACATGAGATATCAGTGTATGCTGCTTTACCACCAAACCTACAAACTCAGTATGCATCAGCTTTGATGGATATGTTTGCTTAAGTCCTGGGATAGCTATGAAAGCACTGCAAGCACTACAACGGGGAAGGATTTTCCCCCAAATACTGGCATACCCCTGCCCTGCCATCAGCAGGGCTGTTGTGTACCAAGCAGTAGAGATCTGGGCAGCCGCCGATGAAAACCTGGCTGTAAATGAGGCACCTTTCCCTGATGATGCCGAAAGCCATCACAGCCCCGGGGCAGCAAACGTGCGACGCTGCCGCACAGCCCGGCATAGTGCCTTGCCTGCCAGCGGAGGGACTGCCGCCTCCAGTAACCATGGCATCCCTTGCTCTGCTCCAGCACTGCAACCAATTACTGTGGCCGTCCTGTCACTTTATTATATGAAACTATACTACTCGGTGTGCAAAGATTTAAACTTTTTTTTTTTCTTGAATATTCTTCTACTGCCGGTAATGTCACTAGGTGACCTAGTTCCTTCATTCACACGCATTTTATTTTTAGTGAAAGTCAGATAAAATAAGAGCATCATTGTGCAGGGAAGAACAAATCAACTGTATGAACTTCTTTTCTAGAGATGAACAGTCTGTGGGGAAATTAATGTCAATTTTTAATTACAACATCACAATAACATTTGACTCCCATTAAAATTTTTGCATTTCAAATGCAGGGGAAGAACTTTAGTCTACTCTTAAATGCATTAAATAAATAAATACAAATGTATACAAAACTGCATTTGAAATGTGTAATTTAAGTGTAAACCAGCTTAAAATGCAGCTGCTATTCACCTATAGAGGAGAAAGGAAAGATGTTAATTAGTATAATTTGGCAGTTAATTGTCATAAATGTTATTGAAAGATTCTAATCATAATCATGCATATCTAAGTAAATACCTGGAGACTATTTAGCATTCATAAACTTATTTATGCTAATATATTTATATATTCTAACATATATATTATGTATGCATATAAAAATACATAGCTTTATACACACACCACATATGTGCTATGTCCATTAACAGAGAATCATCTATTGTAGGTTTGCATCTATTGCAGTTCATTCTATAACTAGAAGTTTCCTTTTTTTTTTTCCTTTCATATGTACCAGGTACAATAGACATGGGCCTCATTGAAAATGAAAGCTAAAACTTCCAGCCTTAAGTCCAAATTTGATATTTAAAAATAAACCAAAAGTTACATATTTTTATGTGTGTGTACACATACATATGTATGATTACAGTATTCATAATAGTGGTATGGTAAGGCTGAACATCTTTTTGAATGCTGGAGAAAAGACTCCAGTGATGTGAAAAGCAAAAGCTGGCCTAAAATATTCCCTGTATGCAAACTTTTTGCTGGTAGAATTTAATCAGTGTAAACATTTTTCACTTTGATTGGAACAGAAAGAAAAAGGGTCACTAATAATAGGTAATGAAGTAGACAGATAAATTACTTGAAATCAAATAATGTATCAGATTAGCTAATGATTAAAGTAGATTTTTTTTTTTTTTCTATCAGGAATCTAACCATTAGTTCCAGGCAACAGCATTCACTGTGTCAGCTCCAGGTTTCTTATAAGTTCATGTCTGTGGCAATCACCATCTAATCAGTGATGCACTGAAAAGATTTTCTAGGTGTTAAAGACTAGACCTTGATTTACACAGGGAACAGCCTCTGCACTCCAGCTTAGCCGTGTGGCAGGACCAAGGCACTGTGAACCTGCTTGCCCCAGAGCCTTGCAAAGTTCACATCCAGGCCTGAACTGTGTGACACTGGTCTGTCAACCCAGACAGAGCTTTCACTGTCCCAGTGACAGCCCCTGGTTCCCTTCATTGTGTTTGCCACCAGTTTTCCAGTGAGGCTAGACAGGGCGTCTGTCAGGGAGAGCAGATATTAGCTGCACTGAGAGTGAAGGAGATGCAGTGTAAATGGTGAGATCAATTTACAGGTAACATTTTTTTCTTTAATCATATTTCGTGTATTGGATTAGCAGTAGAAAAATATTCTAGTTTACCTAATAGACTGGGGG